ATTGGTTTAATTTAATTTTGACGTATGTGTTATTAGCGCACATTTTGCATTTTGTTTTGTGAATTCTAAGGTAAGTAACGATTAATTAAGGTAACGATTCCTTGATTCAAATCATGTCGCATATATTATTTGAATCTTAATTCGATATAATTGGTGTATTATATTAATTATATCGATTATATGTTAAGATAATAATATCATTGTACTGATCTTACACAGACTATTTAAAATAATTTAAAGATTATAGAGCGCTCTGAGTTTATAAAAATACAGATGATCCTCAAATAATAAGTACGGTACTTGAATTGCACGGAATCTCGAATGCACGGTAAAAAATTATAACAATTCTACTTTAAAAAAGAATTTTTTTAAAATAATCCTTTGGAATTAAATGTCCAATTTTATATGGATCTAGAGTCTTGAATTGCACGGTTTTTAATATTACGGAACGTGATCTTTACAATTGTATAAATTTCAAGTCTCGAATAACACGGTTTTCAATAACCATCAATTAATCGTTTTTCGAGGGTTATCTGTAATTCTAACGAGCATTAGCTTTGCAAAAATTCAGTTTTGAAAATCAAGTTTTATTTTTCGCAATCAATAGAATGCTCTATGAACGTATTTTTATTTCATATTGAAATATATATTGTGCGAATATAAAAAAATAGGAAAAGTTAAACTATATTCCGTTGCACTATGAAATTGTATAGCATATAAAAATAGGAAAAGAAGATTGATTGCCGGAAATATCGATGTAACGTTAAAAGCTTTAAAATGTAAACATAATTTAGACGCGAGCACTTTGATCTATATAGTCTAGTTGTTCAAATTTGAAAGATATTTATAAAGCGTGTAAAAATAAATTCGTTAGGTTGAAGCTCTGTTAATTTTAACTCTCTTAAATTGATTTGCTAAGTATTACTGCACTCTTCGTTTTATAAATTATCAGTTTCTAAAAGTAATTTATCTGGTTCTGTTGTATAAGATAATACCGCAATAATTAATCGCACTCGAAAATGAAAAACTCATTATGAATGATTTCTAAGAATAACAATGTTTATCATATCTCGATATCGCAATGCCGTTTGATGTCTTATCGGGATTCGTCGTTAATAATTCGCGAGCCTATTCTCGAATAACAATGTCAGTAACCAAGTCGCCCACGATCGCAGTCATGCTGACTATACTCTGTTTGGCGTTGATAGCTTCCGCCTCGTGCTTAGAGCCTAGAATAATCGGAGGCACACCTACAACCATCAGTAAGCATCCGTATCAGGTCAGTTCACGATTGAAATATCTCGCTTCGTGATTATTGTATACGATTGAACACCCAAGTAATTGTGTGAAATTATTACAGTTGAGTGCTCGTGCTTCCCATTTTAAAAATAATATATATTATAGTATTAATAATATATAATAATAATATTACCATTTTTTAAAATAAAATCGTTTTCGACAGGTCTCTATTTATTATGATGGTAAACTCGCATGCGGAGGCTCTATAATCAGCAGGCAGTGGATTTTGACAGCGGCACATTGTGTCTACGGGTATGTGAATTTCATTGTTCTCGATCTGCTATCTTTTAGTTGAGATTAGACAGCCTATAGCTTACGTAATTCTCATAGAAATTGTTAAATTGATTATATTACTTCTATTTCAGCAGGAAACTGTCGCTCTTCAGACTGCGTGTTGCAAGCAGTTATCACGATAAAGAAGGCACTCTAATCATAGACATTGCCTCGATCATTCATCATAAGAAGTATCGGGAGGATACTTACGATTACGATGTGGCTTTAATTAAAGTATGTACAATTGCTGGTTATTCCGTACATTTTTTTCTGTTTTAAATACTAAAAAAAGATTCTTTTTTTTAGTTATTTACTCCTTTAAAGTTGGGCCCAAATGTAAAACTGATCCTTCTTGCGTTACCAGCGGGGAACATTAAAGCTGGTAGCAAGGCAACTGTTACAGGATGGGGAAAGACATCGGTAAGTCGTTAGGCTCGTCCGTTAAGCCGTTTTCTCGCGTACATTCGTATCAGCGTCAAGATTTATCACCGTTAAAATGCTTAGTTGACGGTGATGTTTCAACGAGGTTGTTTAGCTGCGTGTAAACGTTAAGACTCGTTTGCCGAACGCTTGACGTAGTTCCGGTTGATCGTCGCGACAAATGTTGACGGAATCTCGGGTAGACGGACAGGCGGATGTTTGTAAACGTTCGGCAGTCTACATTATATGGGTGTGCTGTACGAATTTCAGCCGAACGGCGCGAGTTCGAAAGTACTGCGAAGCTTGACAGTGCCAGTCATTGACCAAGAGAAGTGTCGAAAGGTCTATGCTCGTTATCGGCCAGTGACCTCCAATATGCTCTGCGCTGGCGGTGACGGTGAAAAAGACACCTGTCAGGTATGTTTCCAATGTCCGATCAATGTTTTTCTGTTTGTCAGCAGTTCCACGATGAGTATTTCATAATCCTTTGATTAGAAAGTCTTTTCGCATTTTTTATCACGTGCACAGTGGATGTGAAACGGAATATATTAAATTCTTTTCGCGTCTTTCTAAGAGACTTCTAGCGAGCAAAATTGCCCCATAAACGATATATTTAATTATTTAATTATTTATATTACATTAGAAAATATATCTACACATATAATTTTTTTTATAATTCTATGTATGAATCCTTTATCTATTTTTTTAACAACGTTAGAATTTAACGTTTTAGAAAGGATGTGACGTCTTCGGAACGTCTGTCGCATTAAAATGATCTCGTTGTATTTTGGATCCATACTACTTTTCGGAAATTGATTCCGTACGAAAGTGAAAAAAGTTTATTTGTTCATGACGCAGGGAGATTCCGGCGGTGCGCTCGTGTACAACGGTGTCCAAATTGGGATCGTGTCCTGGGGCACTCAGTGTGCGAGTGTTGGATTTCCAGGAGTGTATACGCGAGTATCCGCCATACGGCAGTGGATTACCGAGCAGGCGAACGTGTAGCAGAATTAATTTTTCCCCTCTCGTCTGAACGTTTTTCGAGACAGGGGAGAGAGGCAGCGTACCGTTGAAAAAATATTTGCTTGTGTTTAACCGCATCAAAACTAGACGGCATTACGAAAAAAAAATACTACCTGCGAATTGTACAATAAAGGGAGGCTAAATATAGATGGGAGGCTTTGGCAATAATATAATGACGTAATTCTGAAACAAAAACTGAAATCTATGGAATTTCAATAAATTTTCAATTGTTTTACGTTTCCCTTTCCGCGAATAAATGTAGACATTATTTTCGTGCGTTTATTCACATCAAAATTTAAACTTAGATAAACAAACCTTTCAGCCTCAATTTTAAAGTCTATTAGCTTATTTTCAGACAGTATGATATGAGTGAATTTATATTCTGTGGATATGTATTTTTTTCAGATTTACAATAATAGTTACGTTTTTCTTATTTTATTATTACTTTATTAATTTATTTACTTTATTTACGTTGAAGCGTACGCGGAGATAAAAGGTTCATTCTCAGAATGTATGCTGCAGCAAATGTCGCTAATTATCATAGATAATAAAATGAATTGTTAATCTGATTTCTGATTTCTATAATAATAAATTGTTTTGTTGCAGCAGCGTGATGTATGTACCTGTTAGCAACATATTTATTTCGCGTTAGCGGCAAATCAAATTTACTTTAGTAACAAATTCGCATTTCTATGTGCAAAATTCAACAAGAGTTTTTAACAAACCAGATTTTGTAACAACAAATGATTGGTTATTGCAAGAAATATTTGATTGCTTTCACGACGAGTTTGAATATGTAATAGAAGCTATGATGTGCTTGCGGCAACGAAGTTCTTTTTGTTATGTGTATCGATAACGGATATCGAACTTAAAGTATCGGACCACGATTTCTAGAAAACAAATAAACACCAAATGTACAAACACCGACCAAGCCGGAGCTTCGTCCGAAGTTTAATATCGATCCCGATTAGCAACAACTTGGGTTACGTGGTTAAGACATTCGAGATTTGCGCAGACTTGACTGTTTATAATCGCGTAGGTCTAATCACCGGGGGTATTTTCGAGGATTGTGTGTCATCTCCGCGGGAAAACAAGTGTAATCAGTCCTAAGGTGGCGACGTGTAATTTTGCGCAATGCAATAAATATTATCTTGCTGCCCTTTACACTCGCCTCGACGTAATCGTTCGTCACGCGGGATTATTAATTTCAGCGTTGGCTCGGAACGGTGCTCCTGGTTTCGCAGCCGCCACCGCGGTGGCATTGAATAAACGGTTTTGCGGCCCCAGCACAGGTGGCTGACTCGTAAAGGGGTGCACAAACAGTCGATGCCCGCGTCCGCTCTGTATCTACCTACGTACCGGGTGACGCCGTAAAGAGCATTGCCATTGTACGTGACGTCGGATGATCGTCGCCCTCCCGTCCCCGTAAAGAGCGCCATGCCCGAAATCGCGTCGAGATGCAGCGCGTTCGCGCTATCCGGTTCTGGCCGTTAAGAATCGTGACAGACGTGGCATACTAATGCAGCGCGGCGTTATAACCGGTATGACCGATCGATATTCTCGCGGATATCAGACCTTGTTGTCTGGCGGCGGTGCGCCCCGGTCCAGCGTTCTGCCTGTGTTGTTTCGAGCGCGCGAATATCCCGGAATTTCTGATAACGATGAATTATACGTGCCGCGAAACATTGCTAATCCTGAAGCGCCGTATCCGAGTCCGGGAAGTTTACTGGGTGAATAAAACTCGCGCGCATCTCACGACGGTTTCTTCGGTCGTGGCGAAGTACCTATGTACGTTTATCTGGTTTCTCAGTTTCTCGCTCAAAAAGAGCCTGACTTTCCGAAAAGAATACCGTTCTCCGACTTTGAGCGTCTCTCGTAATGATTACGTTTAATTACCTGCCTCTTGAAGCCGTTTAATTATTTTCCAACCAGCTCGTTCCGGATCATCTCACAGACGTAATACAATAAAGCCTGGTAAGCTCTGGTTTCAACGTTCGTCTTCGATATTTTGTTCCAGAACGATTGGTCGTAACGGACAATTGCGACAACAAACAAGCGGAATCTAGGTCGAATTCTCGGAACCTGGATGATCGGAAATTTCTCTTGGAAAAATTGATCACGCTTGGAAAAATTGATAGTGGCATCAATTAATCCGGACGTCGGAATAAAGGAACGCGTATCCGGCAAAAAGTTTAACGACGAAATTTCCACGATGCTAGTGCAGTTCATGCTTTTATTTTCATTCGTCTTACAAAGCGATTTGACGGATATTTATTGCAGAAGTACGTAATAGTACGTAATATTTAATAACGTTCTGAATTGTAATAAATAAAAAATCAAAGAGAACAATTCACGTGTAAAAATTCATGCTGTTGCTTCAGGCAATTAAGATTAACAATGAAATGGAACACTATAATGTGTTTATCAATATAAACAAATTCAATCTTAAATTTGATTCTGACTAAATATTCACTATTCATAACGTGCAACAATTATTCATTTTCTCTAGCAAATTATTATATTGCTTCATTTTTCCAATTATTATATATAGCGTTCAATTGCTTTGAATTCGTATTTGCGATAAGTATAATTATTACTTAATAATAATTACATATGGCTTTGTGTAATCATATTACATTTGATAAGAATAACAAAGCGTAATAATAAAGCATGTCTACGTTTATGAATATTCATGTAGAACGTGAATTCTAATAATCCTTCCAGGCATATAAGATCGTTCTCGGCTCTTGTTCCACGTCAAAGCTAAATTCGCGCACGCTAGTTAGTAGTTTATGATACAATCGCATTGAAACGTTAATTCGAATATTGGCCGGCTAGAGACCGATCAATCAAAGAACCGCGTTGCTGGCGAGGAAGTGAAGAGAATTGTCCAGCATCCGTATCATGTAAGTGTATCGAATAGGCAACAGCTGATGAATCCAAATCCGAACAAAGGGATTTCTAGACTATGTCGCAATGGAAATCGCAATAATAGCAGTATAGAGAGATTCAGTTACAACAGAGTAACTGTCGCCGATTGGACTGCGATTTGTACAGGATATCTCTATCGTGCTCCGATAACGCGCGCAAGTATATAATATAAATATCACGCTGTTATAAAAACTCATAACGAGGGTAACTTTTATGATATGAGTTACGAGTTTGAAGCGGCACGGAACACTATCATTCACTGAGACATATACATTTCTATTGTTTATACGTAATTGTAACCAGTAAGCACTTCGGTAAATATAAATCTGAAAATTAAACAAATTATAGGACACGTAAATTTGACCACATTGAAAAAATGTTATTAAAATCAGTATTTGCAATATTGAGATAATTCGTGTAACGTTATTGTATCGGATGATGAATTGTTGTCAAATTGAAATAATTTGTTAGCGTTGCAATCGCGTTTTCATCTCACGACAGTATTTTTGAATATTACGCAATACTCAGTGATCTTGAAAATCAAAATCGTTTGCATTTTGATAATCCGTTCGCTAAATTTTTGCCCAGTTAGCTGTTACGCTTGGAATCACACAAGCTTTAGTAGTCATAAAGCTTTTCGAAACAATTTCGAACAATATATAGTTACACTGAGAAAAAAAGCTGTTGCTTCAATTAAAGTGGTATCACGGGGTGCCAAAAACATAAGTAGTTTATTCATGGGGGTGAGTATTCGTTTATTATTTTGCTATCCTGGTCAGTCCTGTGGTGGATTCCGTTTCTCAAGCGCGACTTGATTCGCCCATTACGAAAAGAGGTATTACGTCGCGTCTCTCTCTTATTCGCACGATCGTAACAGGTATCACTCGCACGATTTTTCGCGGATTAATTACGCGAACGAAGTTAATGCGGAAATATACAGTCGCTTGCGGCGATTGTTTCTTGCATTAACATTTTAAAATTAAATATATCTGTTAAAATGACGTTGTAAAAATATAACGGGCGCGATATAATTATTTACTTTAAGTATTTTGGACATTGGTTTAAAGCAAAAATATTTCTATGTTACAGATCAACGCAAGATTACAACTTACAACTCCGCTGTTGCGCATCGGCCGGTGAGTCATTTTTTTTATCGATTTCAAAGACATTATTCTTATTAAATGATTATACTGTATAGGTACTAATGGGTTGCCAGGTTCATCCTGAAATTAAATGCAAATGTTTGTTAATATAAAATTCAAAACAGTTTCCTATCCAGTCGGTGTTTATATAGAAATTTTAATCGACTTTTTATCGTTTATAGAAAGTATTCCTTTGAGATACGACTGTAGTAGCGAGTCTTTTATAATATTCGCTGTATGCAAGCGTAAAAATCGATAGGAGTCGTCGCGATATATTACTGTTCTTTCCGTTATCCCGCGCGTAGAGAAAAATATCGCCGACGAAAAGCTCGCCAATTTTTGATCGCGACCATTTGATATTTAAAACTGTCTGCATAACGGCATAAGAATAAAAATATTACGACGAGCGATGCTTTTCTATGCAAAGATTAATATTTTTTCATGAACGGATTCGTATGTGACATTTCTCTCTCTCTTTCTCTCTCTCGCTCTCTCCTTCTCTGTCTCTCTCGCTCTGTCTATCTCTCTCTTCTACCACCCGTTCCATCGTCCCGAAGTCAGTTTGCTAATAAAAACTAGACAACAGGAAGAAAAAACGAAAGCTTCTTTTCCTTGTCCCTATTCTTCTTACACTTGTTTGCCCTGCATATATCCCACCTCACTATTTGGCACTTATTATTTTTACCTCGGTGAACGAAAAATGATCTTACAATAGCCTTGTATAAACTCCGTATGTTTGGAATAACTTTATGGTATCCCCTATAAATAAATCGAAGCACCGTGCATTCTAAATGAGCGCTACTTGCGACTTTCGTAAATGCACGGATGATCGGGCCCGAATCCCTCTTCAATAATCATCGCTGTGAGACTATAATTATCAATTGCATCCATCATGGAGCTGGTTGTATTTGCGGACAGAAAATGAGTGATTTCTCTAAAGACAATAGTTATATCGCCTTATAAAAGTACGCGCGCAGATGATGTAATAAAATGTTGCAAAAAAAAGAGTATAACGAGATTTCTTTCTAGAGATAAACCAGACTGTAAAATGTGTGAAAGGCTTGAAACGCTCGATTTGCTTCAGATTTGGCTGCTGATAATTTTCATTATTCTAAAAATCTAAAAAATTATGAATATCGAAAATGTCATCTTATTTATGTTTTGCGTACCTATTATTTATTCTTAAATCTAGCTTAAAGAAAAATATAATCACACTGAGGAAAAAAGCTGTTGCTTTAATTAAAGTGATATCACGGGGTGCCAAAAACTATAGTTTATTCAATTGTATTATTATTAGACCCCAATATCTGGATTATTAAACCAATAATTTAAATTATTAGTTTGAGTGGCCTATTAAATTATTATGAATGAGTGCGCCGACGGAGATGCGACAACGAAGGAGGACCGAGGAGAGG